CGACCTACACATGCACCTTTAAGGACATAATACTTAGGATTCGTGTTTAATCAGACTATGGTCTGTTAGCATCTTAGATAAGTTATGTTCTAATTATGTCATGGCACAACAGGACAAACTTCACTTGCATAAAATAAACACATATAAAATATGTCACTGTGTTTGACTAGAGCAATTAAATATAATTTGATTTGAGGGAATGTTCCTGAAAAATTTTGCTACTTATATGGTTCTTCTTTTTCTTCTCTCCCTTCCCACCTTAAGAAAAGAAGCAGGACTTAGAAAACTGGTATTTTCTTTCCAATAAACAATAAATGTCAAACATGACTATTGCTACCATTTTGAAAATATTAATTCTAGTATATTTTGTAATTTTTTTTAAAGATTTAATTATTTATGCATACAAGAACTGGGGTACAGACTAGAGGTGTGGGGGTGAGTGGTATCACTAGAGAAAGAGTGGGAAACAGAACGGGCAGATAGACTGAAGGACACTGCTGTGGGGACCAGCAGGCCAGCCAGAAGATATCTGCTGCACCATGTGGGTTCTTCCCTGGCCGGGGATTCAACTAGTGCTGCAGTGGCTGTGGACAGCTTCATAGGTTGCATCTTAACCATTTGTGCCACCAGGGAGGCCCATATTTTGTAAATGTTATAAGGAGAATTTCTTTCTACTTTTACAATGAATGTTGGTTTCATCGATGGCAGTGTTAAAGTTTGTTCTTTATCTATAATACATCGCCTTAATTTGTCGTCTGCTACAAGACACTTGAATTTGTTGGGATTCAGACACATACACACACAAACACACACACATCTCCCTTGCTCCATCACACAAAAAATATCAAAAGATTAAGTCTTTCGATTATTGACTGGCAAAGAGCTGTCTTTTCTTACCCAACAGGTTAAATGCTGCAGAGCTATTAGATTGCCTGGAACGCTTTCTGACCTACTGACATCTTAGAGGAAAACTGTAAAATTTTTACTTCAGAAGTAAGTTGTCCTATTTTTTCCCCCTTTTACTGCATAGCCTGCTAGGAAAATCGGATACAACTTTCTGTGAAAAAGGATTGGAAGTTCTGTAATATGCCTTGTTTTTAAGGCTACCTGTTTAGTTTGGGGAGTAGTTTGGTATATAATTGTGCTTGGCTTGGATACACAGATTAAAGCTTAGCAGTTTCTTTAGCCCTGAGGATCTTAAGTCCATGTAAATCTTAGCTGTGGGAAACACTGATGAAGTTAAGATGAAGGTATGAGAAAGAATCAAGGGAGAGAGATATGATGATAATGATAAAGGGAAAGAGAAAGAGAAAAGAAGTTGATGAAATGCCACCAAAATTATACATCTTCTGCGGCAGCCTCTGCCGCTGAACACCAGTGAACTTACTGGAAAGAGGGAGGCTTTCACTCAGACACATCAGAGTGAGTAAGACCCCCTTCCCCTGTGCGCTGGACTGGACAGTCAATGACGGGTAAGATTGGGGGCAGACTAAAGAAGGCACTGGCCAGCCTCATGTCTGTGACTCCTGAAGACCTAAGACAGGCGCAGTCCCCGAGGGGCTTCATCATGATAAACTTTGGCGTTCAGATCAAACAAGGCACACATGCCTATAAGCCTAATTTAGGCAACAAGCCCGCAATAATTAACCCCTCCTTTGATGGAAACAAGGCTGCTAAGAACGTCACCTGCAAACAAGCCTGATGGAATTACCTACAAAGCAGTTTTACCATTAATCAGATAGCCATTGTTTCAGTATAAGTAGCAACCTAGCAACCTGTCTGTAATCATACTACTTTTTCACTTACTTTGCTTTTTCTTTATATGTGTACAATCAGTTTCAGGAAATGCATGATAAAGAAAATAGTGTGTGGCAATGGTAGTTTTATAATAATCATAATACTTCTCACATGAGACAACACCATAAAAATCAAAATGCTTATGTAGAGAATATATTGCTCGTGATCACTAAAAGTAGAAGGTGCCAGTAGGTAAATATCAATGTTTTTGATCATTGTGGTTTTGGGATACGAATCAAGAAAAGCTAGCTTAAAGAATGCTGTTCGGTGTAAGCTAAAATGATTGTGTAGATTCAGTACCTGGAGATCGTTTACTGTGCCATGTCATGGATCAGCGATCACATGCACATGAATAATGAAGTAGATGTCTTATGCCTTACAAAGTATTTTATGCTGAGAAAGAATTAAATTGTATGAAATCATCCATTGTTAAAAAAAGGTATAAAAGTGTATGATGATTTTGAGCAAATTACATTCAGATCTTCACTCTTGAAGTGTGTCTGTTTGTCATTTGTGTGTCTGTCTGTCATTTATGCGCCGATTCCTTGAGCATCCTCACAGTTTCTCAATCCTGAGACAGTCCTGCAAGTCTACCGCTGCGTTGGTCCGCGGCAATCTTCTCTTGCTGAGTTAAGATCACCATCTTACTTGATGATATCTGCCCAAGTTACTTATAAAACATCATAGTTTAACAAAAAATTTCCTAGGGAAAGATAGCTTGCTTGAAGGCTCCTTTCCTTCCTGAACATATATTTAATTAGTTTTAAGGGAAGAAACATACACCTGCATTTTTCTGCTATGGGAATATTTTGCAGGTTGCTTATTTTAGAAGTCTGGGAGAATACAGCTTGGGAATTCTCTTGTACTGGAGGTAGAAGTAGCTTTGGGTTTGGAATTATAAACAAAATACTAAGGAAGTGATACACATCCTACAAATTTGATTACTAGATGAGGGTGACAAGTGTTGGAGGGAAGAATAGAAAACCAAAAGGAAGCATCCTCCATCACAAGGACAATGAATTAGGGGTCCCCTGCTCTCCTGAAACTTTGCTTCTTTTCCCCTTCCACATTAAAGAATGATTCCCAAAGTATTCATGGATATAATTTGAATACATTAAATTGCTGTCTTCTTTTTTTTCCTGAGGTTTCCTGATGGTAGTGACTAGTTGCTGAGTATTTGAACAATGCCATTACCTTCCTTAGTTGTTGTGAGTAGTTTAGAGTAGTGGAGAATGAGGAAGGGCTATTGGAATGACTTCCCTCTGGGGGTTCAATCTTTCATCATTCGTTTTCCATTCGTAAAGTGTATTTCAAAAACTGCAACTCTACAGTAGTAGAGGGGCCAATTGGTCCCTGCTCCGTATCTTTTAGACAAACATCTTTACAAGGAAGATGTTACTTTAGATGCTAATCTCCAAGTTCTTGCCAATTGTGTCCCCAAGGTTTTAGATGTACACTAAAAAAATACTCTTTCATCGTGTGTGTGTGTGTGTTTGTTGTTAATATGCTTTGTAAAGGAATAGTTTTATAAAAAAATTAATTCTTTAATTTCTTGACTGATTTACTGGGTTCTAGTTAGGGGATATAAATTTGACCAAGACAAAATTTCATGTGGAGAAAAAAAGTCAAGTGGTAAAATAGCTTTTTGTCTCTTTCCTTCATTTTGTTACCTGCCTAAGAGTTACAATCAAAATTCATTGTTGTGGAATCTGTCTTTTCATGCCAACATTCCATTTGCTTTTCACCTCAGCCAGTCTCCCATTGTGGGTTATTGAATAATCCATGTTGGATTATTCTCCTGTATCTATCTAATTCCTGCCTTCATTCCCAGCCCAAGTCCTACAAGGGTTTGTCCAACTTCAACACTCTTCTCTATCTGGAACCATATGGCATTTATCTAGGTCACTTCTTTATTTGGCTCTCCGGGTGCCTTAGGCATACCCTACAATGTCATTGCACTCTTTCTATCTAGCCCTCATTTTCTGTATTTGAAATTGCATTTGGTAATCTGTAGTCCATGTGAATCACCATCACGGAAGATGTATTTTTCTCTATCCTGGACGGAGTGGAATTGCTGGATCATAAACCCTAGAAGTCTGACAGGTAGAACTAAGGCTATTGGAGAGATCGGGGGAGGGCAGAGAGCAGGGTGTGAAAGGGGACCCGTAGGCTATGGTGGAGAACTGTGGGTGCCTTGGTGGTAGGTGTGGTGTGGAGCATGTATTTGAGGAGGTGTGATCTATTTCTCTGAATCACACATGGGGAGTAAACCAATGCTACCTCAAACACAACTAATTATTTAAATTAAAAAAAAAAAACAGACAGTGAGGATTAAATGTAATAAAGAAAAGAAACAAAAGAACACCAGAATCAAAACAAAATGAAATCTTCAACACATTACAATCACACGGCTTCACAATAACAGATTTCCCCTGTAATAATTGTAATATAAAGGGCCTCCCCAGTGGCGCAGCGGTTGAGTGCTGGGTTTTGAAGCTGCCCGCAGCCTCTGAGGCACAGGTTCGATCCCCGGCTGCTCCCCAGCCACTGGAGGAGGGTCCCACATGGCGCGCAGACCTCTCCAGCTGCCTGTTGCTCTCCTCAGCAGTGTACTTCGGTCCTTCTGCTTGCTCTGCTCCCGCTCTGGCTCTGGTGAATTCTGTCACCCTCCCGCGCTTCTGACTGTACCCAGTGCTTGTATAAACAAACCAACCAACCAAACAAACAAATAAATAAATAAAACCTGACTCTATTAAAAAAATAATTATAACATAAAGGAGCTAAAGATTTTTGTGATTTAAGTTCTAAAATTTTACTTCCTTAGGACATAGAAAATGGGAAGGGAAGAATGGATAATTGGCTTCATCCCTCCTCTGCAGGCTCAGGAATGTTTTGAGAAGATGAGACAAACTTGCTATCAAAGAATTTGTATCTTACATAAGAGAAAAAAATTTTGTTGATTTCAAATGCAGGAGAAGTCCTCCATTATCTAAAATGAATGAAACTCTCTGCACTTAATTTGAGTACTTGATAACCTTCCAATCTCTGAGACAAAAATGTAATTAACAATATATTCCTTTATTTCCCAATCACAGGTAAGGAACTTACAACACATCCCTGAAACATGAATGAAGAATAATACTTAAATATAACATTATAATATCCCTCCTCTGTGCTTCTATTTTACAGCAAATAATACATAAACCAAAGTGTCTAGGAAGAAAGAAGTGATTTTTCACAGTTATTTTCTTTACCATGGGAGTGCTAATGTTCAAGCATATCTTCTTCAGAAGCTTTCTTGGATTCCATGCAACAATTCTTCTGCGTCCAGTCTTCTGTTTGACGCAGAATTATACAGCCTCTCCTATTTTTCCAAACGCTTCTTTCCTCTGGGCTTGGAATGCCCCAACTCACAATTGTGATAAGATCAATATATCGATAGATTTGAGCCTCTTCTCCTTATCAGGAAACCCCGGGCTATACGGCCCAGGACAAGGTGTTGTAATATTTTATAAGGAAAAGCTGGGCTGCTATCCTTATGTACATAAAGGTGAAAATGTGAGTGGAGGAATCCCTCAGTTGGCAAATCTGCAAAATCATTTGGAACAAGCTAGGAAAAACATTTGCGATTCCGTTGGACCGAATGACGTGGGTTTGGCTGTAATTGACTGGGAAGAATGGAGGCCCCTTTGGGACAGAAATTGGGGTGCTAAAGTTATTTACAAAAACCAATCTATTGATTTAGTTCTCCAAAGGAATAAGACACTCACTCCTAAAGTTGCAGTACTAGTTGCCAAAGCGGAGTTTGAAAAAGCTGGAAGGGATTTCATGCTAGAGACTTTAAAATTGGGAAAATTACTACGGCCAAAATACTTATGGGGTTATTATCTTTTTCCTGATTGTTACAATCATCATTATAACAAAGACCGAGCTTACAATGGAAGTTGCTTTGATGAAAAAGAAAAAGAAAGAAATAATTTGCTCGACTGGTTATGGAAAGAGAGCACTGCCCTTTTCCCATTCGTTTATTTGAATACCGGAATAAAAGGTTCCAATACTGCGCTCTTTGCCCGGAATCGTGTGCTGGAAGCCCTTCGAGTTTCTAAAGTGAGAAACAATACGGACCCGCTTCCGGTTTTTGTATATCTGCGTCTAGTTTTTACTGATAACTTTACGACTTTCCTTTGTGAGGTAAGAAAATCAAAGTATGAGGATTATGAATTAGTGTCCTCTGCAGTGTTCAATCGAATTTAATGTCATTTTTGAAGGAAGGGAAATTTAGCTTTTCATAGCCTTTAGGATCATGCACACAGGTAGGACGCATCATGGCACAAATGCAGAATAAGAACGTTTCATCTCTAACGTCATTGCAATCATGGAGAATAAGGTAGTACAGGCGACGTTTCACCTCAGTCCCTTCCCTTTTATTTTCCTGGGCCTGCTCTCTTGTCAATAGAAGTCATTCAAATCATAACAGGAACTCTGTATGTTTGCTAGAGGAGGGCAGTGGTTATGTAAAACATGAAAATTAACCTGGGGAAGTATTAAAAAATGTTATTGTGGACCCTGTAGCTTAGCTCTGGTGTTACTGTCTGATATGTATAACACTTTCAAGTTATTCCCATCTGCTAACTCTCTCTATTGCACCCACCAGGATGACCTTGTGCATACAATTGGGGAAAGCGTTGCTCTAGGTGCCTCTGGAATGGTAATATGGGGCAGCTCCAATTTAACCCGTGATAAGGTAAGTTTTGTTGGTAGGCAAGGGATCAAAACATTTCTATGTTTAATGATCTGGGGGATTGTTGTGATAATAAAAAATAAAAGAATACTATATGAGGCACAAAATGTCTTTTCATTTGTGGTTCTATTGTGATGCACAATCTCCATAGCTGTTTCCCTGAGGAAACAATTCAGTGAGCTTTATTGAGTTGCTAGACTAGATGGCTAGTTAAGTAGCCAAACAAAGGCTAGAATGTGGTTTGATGGGCATCCCTGGTGTTTCAGGTGGTTTAGCGCAGCACTGTGAAGCTGTCCATAGCCTCTGTAGCCTGGGTTCTATCCCCTTGGAGGCGGAGCAACCCACATGGCGGGACAAACCTCTCCTGGCTTGCTGGCCGCTCCCCTCAGCAGTGTTTTTGAACAGATCTGCCTGTTCTCTTCCCCACTCTGACTCTGGTGAAACCTCCCACTCTCCACACCTCTGGCCTGTACCCCAGTTCTTGTATAAATAAATTAAGATCTTTTAAAAAAATTCTCTTGACTAGACTGCTCGTAAGTTGACAAACGAGGACTAGAATGTGGTGTTATTTCATGGTGGATTTTTTTTTTTCCTACCACACCTTTGTGTCTCTTCTTAAAAGAGGCTGTGTCTTCTCTTGAAAGAGTTGCAATGAGTCAACCTGCATTCCTTTGGTCTTTCCTTCATTTAACTACTGTTTATTTAGCAATTACTTATGCAATTATTCACTGAATGACACTCAGTTGCAGGGTCAGCAATTGATGACTGTGGACCAAGTCTGGCCAGTTGCTTGCCCTGTTCAGCTCCTAGGTCAAGACTCATTGATACAGTTTTAAATGGTAGCTAATAGGTTCCTGTATATCAGTAAAGATTCATTAGCTCTAAGTCCTGCTCATGTGTTGAGGAGCCCAGGGCAGCTCTGCACTTCTGAGACACCAATATATCATAAAGGCAGAGAGGGTATCATTAAAACCTTAAAGTATTTGCTGCCTGGCTTATACCCAAAACGTTTGCCAATCTTTGAGTATTGAATGCCTGCTGTGGTTAAATATCAAGTAATTTTTAGAGGATGGAAATGTAATAATGAACAGATCACAGGTCCTCTCCCTGCATTCTCAGAGCTGGGAACACAAGTACAGATAGAGCAGGTCAGGAGAATAAATGTAACAAAGAGCCAGGAAGCAGTGTGGGCAGGATGGAGTGTGAAGGAATGGTGTTATTTTAGATGAGGCAGTCTCAAGATGGTCTGGTGAGGATGTGCAGCAGAGACCTGTTGAATTAGGGACCAAGTTTCTGGAGGTAAGTGCAATGGCCTGCAGGCTGCAATGTGCAGAAAGAATGAGAAGGCTGGTGGGTCGGAGTGCAATGAGTAAAGAAGAGAAAGAGAACAGATGTGGTTCTGAGATAGCAGGCAGTCATGTGTGGGCTTTGACTCTGAGATGGGAAGCTACTAACATGTTTGAGCAGAAGAGTGGCAATCTCCGATGAACAAGTCAGAAAAAGTACTTAGCTCACTTGAGAATAGAAGGCAGAATGGGAGAAGGGTAAGGTGCAGCAGGGAGAGGAAGCTAATGCAGGCTTGGACCATAGGTGTGAGCAAGTGTTTGGCAGTGACTGTAATCCAACATTCGAACTAACAGTGGATTGACTGAGATATTGATGAGCAGAGTGGATAAGAGAAGCAGTAATGTAGATGCCTCCAAGACTTCAGACTTGAATTAGAAGCTTCTGAGATGGCATGAGCTTCAGGAGCCGCAGCACAGCAGGGGATGCACAGGGAAGCAAAGGAGTGGGGAGTAGGGAAGGGGTTAGGGCTGGAGTAGAAATTAGAATCAATCAGGTTAGTTTTGAAAGAATGACTAAATCGTTTAAAGGTTTCCTAATGGAGAGGAAGGAAACTCTTACTCATTTTCCACAGGTAATATTTAGTAGTGTGTATTTTTAGAAAACCTGTTCATTAGGAATATAAACCTGTTTTTTCTCCGTTTGGTCTCATTTTTTTTTTCATTTTCTCCAAATGCATATTCTTCAGCTCAAAAAAGCTTTCAGTGTTATGATCTAACCACTGTCTCTCTCCCTTTATTTTTATCCTATTTTAGTTCTGTGTATCAGGTCTTTATACCCTACCTCTTCAAACGTTTTGACCCAAAGCAAGAGTAAAGCTGTCACATGAACACTGAGGAATCGGAGCTGATTTTGTCCTTCATGGTGAATGTGGAAATGCTAGTGATGCCCATGCCTTGGAAAAATTCGGATGGACTCTTAGGGGCTTATCCTAGGAACAGAGAACAGAGACTTTGTATTCTAGGAGCAGAGGAGATCTTTTGATCATTTGTACTTAAGACAGAAAAAAAACATCATTTTACTTCATGAATAAAATACATTTGTCACCTTTGATAATTTTTTAAAATAGTCTTGACTCTTCTGCCTATTAGGTCTAGTTATATGCACTCTGATTTGATCACCATATAAAGAAATAATGCTAAATTTCTTTCACAGAAAATCAATCAGTCTCTAATATAACAAGCTAATAATTTACCATAAGCTTTCAGATTTAAAAATTTATTTAACAATTATAATTCTCCTACTTATAGTCCTGATTTTCATAATTTTTTCCAAAATCTGTCAACTCTATTTGGAGGACCTGATCAATGTTAGGATGGAACCACTTAAAGATTTTCCTTATTGCATCCTTTTTTAGTAAAAGGAACTCAAGAGTCTCCTCTTACTCAAATGAGGAATGACTCAGGTATTCACTAATTAGGAAGATGAATTGATGTACTACTTAATTGTCACCTTTTTTTTGTTCATTTGTTTGTTGTTCTTTAATGTTCACATCTTCTGCTCTGACTCTGAGATGATCTTCACTATTGTTCATACAGAAGGGTCCTTTAACTTCAATGTGGCTATTTTCTACCTCATGACACTGCCTTGTAATAGCCCCCATGTTCAGTGTTCTATGTATTTTTGCCTTTCCCAATTTAGGGTCATTGAATATCAGTTCTATAATTATTTCCCCCCTCCTTTCTGTGTCATTCATTCAGTAGAGCAATGGATTATTTGTCATGATTCCTCTGATTCAATGGCAACTTGAGAGCCTTCATTGCAGGTTTTCTTGCAATGACTGAACTGACTTAAAAATTATTTTCAAATGAAAGCAAACCATTTCCTTCCATTCTGTTTTATTAGTTCCAGTGACGAGACGGAACCAGTTTCTACTGGTCCCAGCTCATGAGCTTCTCTATCTTATAAAGCAGCAATACTGGATTGATTTTCTCTTACCTTGGATTTGTCCTCCTCTTTGTATCTCATTTTACAAAACCCAACTGGAATCAGTTCTGTGTTTATGAGAACTAGACTGAGAGAATCCTGAAAATTCAGCTCCATCTCTCCCCATTTCAGTGTTCACACCCTTCTTCATATCTGTAAAGTCCTTTTGCCATGTAAGATAGCAGTGTCACAGGTTCCAAAGAATAGTGTTTGGGCAGCCTTGGAAGGACATTATTCTGTGGAAGGGAAGGTAGCAGGAAATAGATTCAAGTGGAAGCTGCCAAGATTCCTCCACTTGCCTGTTGACCTAGTATAGCTCTTTGCTCTGCTGAAGACTAGAACCACCTCCTCAGCACTGTCATCATGAAAGAAAGTGACTATCTTCTGGGTATGGAAAAGGACAGTGTCCCAGTTTTAGGACACCCTAGTTTCAAGATGGGTCATTTTCAATACTCAGATTCCACAAATAAATGCGTTTGTAAAAGAACTGCTTAATTCACCCATAATATGAACCACAGGTCACATTTACTACAAAGTGCATTCAATTAAACCTCCATTATTTTGAACTTGTATTTAGAGCCATATTTCCAATGTTATTTAAATGTGTGTGGAAAATGAGATAATTATATTTGTAATTTCTTGAGGAGAAATGATACACTGTTGCTATGCTAAGTACTTTTAAATACCATGCATCTTTATACCACAGCCCTGTGTAGTCCATGCTGTAATCATCCAACAGATGAGAAAGCAAATGGATAGCCTGATTAATTCATCTCTCCATGATTACTTGGACAGGAAACTAAGACTAAGAAAGTTTGGAAGTTTCCTCAATTGATGCAGCTAATATTAGTGTAACTGAGACTCCCATCAGAGTAGTGGACTCCAGAGATAATGCTCTAACTGCTGTATGTTCTGTGCCTCATTCACCCCCATTAGCTTGTGAATTATTGTGGAAGACAAAAGGTAGTTTGTTCTCAGTGAATTAATCGGTGGCATGAAATGGCATGTGAAACTTGCAAATGTTACTACGTGTATTTGGAATAGTCTTTGCTTGTGCAGAAAAGTATAAAATATGTCCTATGTCTCCCTGGATTTATATTTTCATGCTTCCTTAGAAAATGCTTATTGCTAGGATTTAAATGACATACAGTTTAACTTGCCCCTTCTTATTCTGACCTTCTTATAATTTTACAGAATGCTTGCACGAACCTAGCCAATTATACGAAGAATACCTTGAATCCTTACATAATCAACGTCACCCTAGCAGCCAAAATGTGTAGCCAAGTGCTTTGCCAAGATCAGGGAGTGTGTGTACGGAAACACTGGAATTCAAGTGAATATCTTCACCTGAACCCCAAAAATTTTGTTATTCAAATGGTGGAAGGTGGAAAATATGTGGTAAACGGGACTCCCACACTGGAGGACCTGCAGCAATTTTCTGAAAAATTTCATTGCAGCTGTTATGCCAATATCCATTGTATGACAAGAGTGAATGTGACTACTACAAATCTTACCCGTGTATGTGTTGGTAATGATGTTTGTATAGATGCCTGTGTAAACCCAGCACTCAGTGGTCCTTCTAAAGTAAGTGTCAGATCTTCAGGTGCTTACAGCAGTGCTGCTGCTACTATACCATATGCTACAATGTCCCCACATGCTTCTGGGAAAGTCCTCAATGAGAGCTTCCAAACAAAATGCTTAGTGGAAGCTGTCTCCAACATCCTCCAAGAAGAACATGAGCGTCGCTTATGTAATCTAAACACTCCTAATGAATCAACCTTTACCAGTACAAGTTCAGTGCTTCTTAAAATTCCTATCCACATACTATATGTTTTTCTAGCTTTTACATTTTTATACTTAGTAACTTAAAAAATGTGTTTTTTCATGCACATGATAATCCTTAGTTTGTATTTGAAGTGCTGATAAAAACACATGGCTATGATAATGAATAGCTTGACATTTTGAGCAAAAATTATTTTCTTATGATCAAATGAAACTTTAAATTATTATTAATGATAAACAAGGAATATTGACTACCATCTTTGATTTTCAAAATCATAGAACATTGTTATTACTAAAACCATTGATAACAACAATATGATTGAAACTACATTTGACTTGAATCCAGATTTTTAACAGAACATACAATTTCTTTAAGATGATGTCCAAGTTATATATTCTGGTTGCCGTGATTCTGTAGCAAATATTTTGCATACATGAATGTATGTATACTGATTGTAAAAACTGATTGTAATTCCTAAAACAACTGTCTACTTAGGTTTTACCTGAGAAAAGTGAAGGTTTGGATAATACCACTTTACTACAAATGAGTATCATTGTGGATTCACTGTAGTTCATAATAAAAATGTTAAGAAAGTAATAATGAGGAAAACTCTTTTTCTTTTATAATGTCTATTGCTAGTTGGTCCTTGGCATAGAAATATGATTTCAGCTACTTCAGTTTAATCATTGCTTCCAGTTGTGTTGTATAAACAGTAGCCTTTAACAAGTGATTATCCTGTCAACTTTGCTTTTGAGTTAATGTCTTCAGAATTCATATAGTCGGTATTCCGATTGTGTTTTCATCCTTGGTTGTCAAGTTTGACAATCTTGTGCACCCATAATGCCTTACTTCATCTAAGTTCCATCCACATCCTCAGAGAGCATTTATTGAGTGTTTTTTTCTCTGCCAGGGTCAATGGAAGCATCACAGATTAGAGAGGAAGGAGAATGTTTCTTGCTATGCTGAATTAGGTGTATATTTGAAGAAGACAGACCTCGAAATTGAAAAATTACAAAGTGTGTGGTGAATGTTATGATAGAAACTCAGCATGCTGTGCATACAAATATGAATTCCAAGAGTGTCTTTTATGCTATCGTGACCCAATAAAATTTTAATATATTGTGCTGATACAACATTGCTTATTTGATTTCTAGCACTTTCATATTCCACATATTCAAAACATACTTTAGCATAGGCACATAGTTTTAAAAGAAATATATTACGTTCCCCACACCAACTTGTTACTCCTAAACAACACATAAAGGGATAAAGCTTGCTTGGATATACAGTTATGTACTTTATTGGGAAGAATCATTATGGATGAGTTTATCTTTCTCTAAAATGTCTCTTAATTGCAGCCCAGAAATAAAGAGATTTCAGGGTTAATCATTTTGCAAAAGCATGAAAAACACTGATTGTAATAAGCAGTATATGAATGTTTTGGAAAATTGAGCAACCAGAAATATACACATATATTTTGTATCCGGTAGAAAACATTAATCACTAACTTCATTAGTCACTGACTTCAGTGGCAAATACTTTGTTTGTTTGTTTGTTTGTTTGTTTAAAGATTTATTTATTTATGCATACAATAACTGGGGTACAGGCCAGAGTTGGGGGGGTATAGGATGAGAGGATTCACCAGAGACAGAGTAGGGAACAGGGCAGACAGAATGACTTACATACACTGCTAATGGGAGCAGCAGGTGAGTCAGGAGAGGTCTCTGCGCCATGAGGGTAGCTCCCTGGCCTGCTGGGGATTGAACTCGTGCTTCAGTGGCTGTGGACAACCTCATAGGCCGCGTTTTAACCCCTTGGGTCACGGGGAGTTCCCTGGCAAATACTGTGAATGATGTTTCCATGTGATGCTAGGAACTAGCCTGACTGAAATTGCCAGTCACCATTTTAGAGCTCCTCACAGATAAAAAGAGTTTGCGTTTATCATTCAACACTTAATTATATGTTTTACGTACAACTTCTCATTTAATTACCTAGTTTCCAGTTAAGGAAATGAGGCTGAAGTTGAGTAAACTCAAGGTAACTACGATGCCGTTACAGAAGGAAAGAAAGCTTATACAACCTTCCTCTCTACCTCTTTGTTCGATGAAACATATTCAACTCTAATGTGTTGTTCAACTCTGAGTTCCTACTTGTCAGAAGTTATTGACATTAAAGTCTAATTTATAAATATAAAATACAAACAAAAATCATTCTAATATGAATGAGAAGCAATATTAGAGAACTTTCTAAAAATTAAGTTTATTTTCATATCAAACACTGTATAATCACATAATAATAAATTTGTGAAATAGGAAAAATAGTGAAGGAAAACAACAATAATCACTGTTATATATACTGGTAACACTTGGCATATTTCTTTCTAGTTTTCTTCCAAAGAATTTTTTTTAAATCATGCGTGTAATAATAATAATACATCTATATACTTGCATCCTTTGTTTTTTCTTAGTCATGTTTTTAACCCAAATAATAATTTATCAGCTGGATATAGCACAATTTAACAATTTTCTGTAAGCTTTGATATGTAAATGGTAAGCTTTTACTATTTAATCACCTTATGAGAAAATATTCTCCAGATCACCTTAACAGTTGATTCACTTATTAATCAATTTGTGCATTAATTAATTAATTAATTGACCATTACTTCTTATCAGGCGCTGCTCCAGGCTTCAAAATAGATCCCTGAACAAAATAACATCCCTGCCTTCCTGGAACATACATTCTAGTTGGAGGAGGCAGGCATCAATATTTACATAGCAGTTTATATAAAATGCTAACACTAAGGGAAAGAAAACAGAGCAGAGTGGGGAAGGTGGGATGTTCTTGTATTGGGTCTTATTGAGCAAATGCCGATTGGATGGGATTAGCTGTGAGAATATTTTGGGTAAGGATATTTTAGTACCTTTGGTGGTGGGCCTGGTGTATTCGAGGAATAGCAAAGAATGTTCTGGGGCTGAATCCTTCTCCTTACCATTAACTTCCGTTGCTTATTCTTTGAACTATAGCATTTATCATCATCTGACATAGTATATATTATGTATTTGCTTATTTTCTGACTTCCTTCTCTGGAATGTAAACTAGGAAAATGAAGACTTCATCTTGGTCTATGCAGTACATTACTTGCTACAATGCCTGGCACACAGTTGATATTCAACATATACTTTGAGTGAATGAATGAGTGATTCATAAATCTGACTCAATAGTAGCTATAAATTTACTATGAGTTTTTTTTTTAGCTCTGCACATTATAGTGAATGATTGCAAAGTCATTCTTAAGCATTGTTCTATTCTTATCCTAGTACACTAGCACCTGGCTTCACGTGGTTTAAGTCCGTGTGAAGAGCTGAGGTCTGAAGAGAATATATCCCTGGACAAAGTCAAAAAGTTAGTTACTAACAAGTCTCATCTAGAACTCAAGTTGCTGAAATGTCACCATAACTGGCTGTAAGATGGAAACCAAATATGTTTACTTAGCTTTTGATGATGCCCATGAATTTACTGCATTTGTAATTAATTTTCAGTACTCATACTGGTAAAACCAATCAACTTCCAGATCTTTCAGCTCTAGGGTTTCTGCAGATGTAACTTAGCTCACTGCTTTTGCATGGGAAATCCACCTGCTAAACTGCTTCATAACCACAGTTTCTGAGAACCTTTCTAATTTCCCTTTAGGAAACAGCAAGCTACTCAGACTCACTACTCTTCAGAGTTCTCTTATACAGAAGGGAATTAATGATAGTAGCCTTTTGTGCACATTTAATGATATCAGGTAGGAAACATACTTGGCATAAAACCTGGCACATAAAAAAGTCCTGGCAAATGTTAGCTATTGTTATCAAGTACTGTCAATATTGATCCCTTAAAAGTCATGATAGGTAATATTTTCTCCATTTTGAAGTAAAAAATTATGTATGACTCAGAGTAGTGAAATGGGTTGCTGAATATTATTTAGAAGTACCTGTGCCTTGAACCTTCTCTTTTGAACCTTAAACTTGTTATCTTTCATTTCGGCAGAAGTATTGAAGACTATTGGCCCCAAATTCATCTTTACTGGCTTACAGAGAAATATAACAACCCAACCCACGACTATACTGATATTGATATCAGACAGTGCTTTTTTTTGACCACATGAAAGAAAAACTTAAATTTAAACAGTCTATAAGCAACCTACCCTTAACTCTCATGCTCTCAATATCTAAATGTCACTTCCCCATAAAAGGAACAAGCATCTTTTAGGAAAGTGTCTGAGTCTAAAGTCTTTTTCCAATGTATGAGTCTGGGATATAATTGTTATCATAAAGTAAGGATGCTATCAAGGATTACTAGATTTTGATATCAAAAGAACTCATAAATCTTTTTTAAAATTAATTTAATTTTTTATACAAGCACTGGGTACAGGGAGAAGCGCAGGAGGGTGAGAGAATTCACCAGAGCCAGAGCCGGGAACAGAACAGGCAGACTGATGCAATACACTGCTGAGAGAAGCAGTGGGCAGCAGGAGAGGTCTGCGCGCGATGTGGGACCCACGCCGGGTGGCTGGGAATCGAACTGGCACTGCAGAGGCTACGGGAGCTTTGCGCCCAGCGTTCAACCGCTGCACCACCGGGGAGGCCCACAAAGGAAACTCTTAAGGTACAAAGGGAAGTGTGAAACAGCATGCCAGGGAGGTAATGACCACAATTAATATCCTAGAAAAGTCTACAGGACAAATGGCCTGTTTAAATTACAAAAAAAAAAGCCAGGAGAACACATGTCTATCAATGTGGGTTCAGACTGATGCTTCCCTGTGCAGGATTTACGTGACGTTGCAGGCTCTTTTCCTCTTTCTCTTAAAAGATTTTTTTCTGAAAAAGCTTTCTTAATAAGTCACTTGCACACGAAAATTCATCTTAGGGACTGCTGTTGAAGAACTTGACCTAAGTCCCATTTATTCCTCTAAATATGTAGAATCAAGCATAAATACAGGAGTTTGACTTGCATGGAAGCAATACTATGGAAAAGTCAAAACATAAATTGCAAAACACTTTGGAACGCATGACAATGTGCTAATTCTTTTTTTAAATTTATTTATATATGCATATAAAAGCTGGGGTACAGGCCAGAGTTGCAGGAGTGGGGTGAGAGGATTCACCAGAGACAGAGCGGGAAACAGAACAGGCAGACTGAAGAAATACACTGCTGAGGGGAGCAGCAGGCGAGACAGGACAGGTCTGCCTTGCCATGTGGGTTGCTCCCTGGCCGGGGGGATCGAACTCGAGCTGCAGAGGCTGCGGACTGCTTCATAGTGCGGTGCTTAACTCCTTGTGCCACCAGGGAGGCCCAACGTGCTAATTATTGTGCCTATTTCAGGAAGCCAATTCAAAACGACACAAACCTAACATGGAAAAGGACATGAATGTAAAATCATAGCAAAGAAAACACAAAAGGCTTGATATTTCAAAGGAAATTATGATTAAAATGACAATGAGAACTATTTTTACAGCTAATCAAAGATTTAACAAAATATAATATAAATTCACTTGAGTATTGGGGAAATACACAATCAGTAGTGCAGAAAGTGTTAACTGATACAAAATCTTTAAGAGTTAGCAGCATTTGGTAAAAAGCCGCTTTCAGCGCGAGAGGGTTACTTACAGCAGGTGCGGGCGGGTACCTTGAGAGCACCAGGCCGGCTTCCCCTCAAGCATAGGCTTGGAGCAAGTTTGGGGTGCAAGGCTTATTCCTGAAGTACAGGGAGGCACCTGAGGTCCAAACAATTTAGGCACATGTATGAACAAAAATAATGGAAACTCCGCAATTTTGTCACTAGCAGGAATATGGAAGGGACGGGCTTGAGGGTGGAACCGTCTTGGTCCCTTCTGGTTGTTTCTGGAGTCATGGTTCAGTTGCTTCCAGAGTCATCGACCACCAACTCCATCCAACTGTAATAGAGACTTGAGGGTCCCTGGCCTAATTTTAGCCGCCTATTAGTTTGGGACATTGATTCTAGTGTCTCTCATATTCTCTCTCTCTCTCTCTCTCTCTCTCTCCCTCCCCCAAGCACTTTCTAGAATTCTAAAATTTTATTCTAAATCCCTAAAGATAGTCAGAAACATCTGAACAGTCACCCACAGATCCCCAGAGCCAGAGAACCTACCTAACGTTACTGCAATTGGAGTACAGTCCTCATTTACATCGCAGAACTAGGAGCCTCCAGGCCTTTGCCAGTGGAGTAGATATGGCTGAAGTCTGAATCCAAGAGACTAGGCTAAATTCCTTGACCTTAGGTAAAGAGAACTTGAGTAGTGTCTATCAAATGGAGCCAACACTTACTTACTTCATGGGATCATTGGGATTAATGTGCAGAGGCTGAGATAGAGGAGAGGAAGGGAGAGGAAAGAGAAGAAGAGAGAAAAGTGAAAATATTAGTGACTAGTCTACTCTCTCTCAGACTTGGGACTCAAGCTACGGTAGATTCAGGCCAATGCCCTTGTCCTCCTTTTCCCGCTTTGCCTTAATATTACCAAGTGGGTAGGCTCAGTGCTCACAGTTCTACACTTCACCCAGTTTTTGTTTATTTTCCTGAGGAAGTTATGTGTAGCAAAGTTGCACTTAACTAATCACTGTTGGCAAAGTTAGAAGGTAATATATATTAACCGAAGGTAAAATATTCCCATAAGTCAAATTTACCTTTCATTTCAGGAGTGTTAGTCTTTTAGTTCACATAATTTATTTATTTTTTAAAGATCTATTTTATTTAATTTTGCATACAAGAGCTGGGGTGTAGGTCAGAGGTGCAGGGGGTGAGGGGATTCACCAAAGACAAAGTGGGGAGCAGAACAGGCAGACTGACTTGCAATACAGTGCTGAGGCAAGCAGCAGGGGGAGCAGGAGAGGTCTGCTGCACCATGTATGTCAGCTCCCAGGCCAGGGGTTGAACTCATGCTGTAGTGCCTGCCAATAGCTGCCCATAGCTTGATAGTGCTGAGAATTAACCCCTTGTGCCATCAGGGAGGCCCCAATTTCTTATTCTTAGTGCTTAGTCTACATGATGTGGAAAGCTAGTTAATTTAAAATATAGTATTTACATTCTCCTGATCACAATGGGGAGACCTAAGTTAAAACAGGAAACGTCACTTGTCAATGCTGTAACCTTTAGTCATTTGGAATAAATGCAAAAAGAAACAATAGCCCAGTGAAAAAAACTAAACAATGAGGTAATCATTCCATCAAAGTTATCTAAACACCAAAGAGGCTATTGGTGGTAGAGAGTCTGCCCTTGAGTAGGCCCTTGACTCTGATTAAATGATACCTTTGAGGATATTTAGACCGAGATTTAATTCCATTTTTTCCCAATGAAGTTGATTCCAACAGCAGAGTACAACAGTAATCGTAAAAGCAGAAAGTTGTTTGTCACTTATATACCATATAAGATGATTAAAACCCACTCTCCCTTTTCAGAAAATGTGATGTTTGTTTCATGTGTTCATCTCCATGATAGTAACTCACCCAACAGATATCATTGTAAAGAGCAAGAACCTCAGAATTAGTAGGGTTTTCTATTTTGTGATGGCAGGCAAATTATTTAAAAATTCTTACATTATTTCCTCATTTGGAAAATGAGGATGACCCTTAACCCTGCTGTTACTATGGCCTTTACATACTGTAATTATCTACTGAAAGCCCTTAGATGTCTTTATAATCAGTTGTTGATTGATTTTTAGATATTTGGTTGACATTGCCTTTTAGTGAAGGAATAAAATAAGCCTCCTCTTCCCTAAGTTGTCTAGAACAAACTTTTCCCAATACGTATCACCTTGGCATGTGGAGCTTAAGGTCAATCAAGCTCCTGCAGGGTTTAAGAAAAACTGTTATTCTCTTGATTTCCTAGAAGAATGAAGATTGGGGGTATAACTCAGATTTAAGGTTATCTCTGGAAATGAACTTGCTGTCAGAGAAACCCATCTGTAGTTACAGAATATCTGTTTTTTATGAGCCATACTCCCCTCCTCATATAAGTTCCCCTCCTCTATCCTTGAAGTCTAGGCCCCTATCTCCTTCATTAACTCAAGAATAAATACCTTCAGTCTATTCTATTTAGAATATACAGCCCGGTAAATTCTCCATATGCATGTAATTAAATTTGTCCGTTTCTCCTACTAATCTGTCTAATGTTCATTTGTTTGCTCAACACAGGATGAACCTAAAGGAATAAAGGGAAAATTTCTCCTCTGTTCCTACACCTACAAACACTGTCTCTTAATGAAACTAGTGAAAAACGTGCTGTTCTCATGTTAATATTCACGTCGTAACACACATCACATATATGGCGAAGCACTTAGGGCCATCAATACATACTACTTATAACTTAGATTTTTAAAAGTGTGGTTACTATCTGTTAAGAAGTAAAGGCAAAATAAGGCATATGCAATTCCATAAAAACAATATTTTTGGTCAAAACCATAAAAATTCATTAAGCAGCTAAATACTAATTAGATGCAACCTTGGGAGACCCACTTCCCTGTAATTAAGTTGACAAGTGATCACGTGCCTTGAAGTTCCTTTAATTCTTTCAGGTTATTTGTTATCTGTTATCTCTACTGGTTTTGCTTTTTGCTTTTGTTTTTGTTCGTAGCCAAAGTGTAGGTTTTGTAAAAGTCATGTCCCCATGGCTCAACCTCATATTTGATCCATTCCCCAACCGCATTGTGGGTCCAAACTCTTCCGAAATTCTGAAGTAGAACAGTCCCCAATCCTAATGAATATTCTTGAATATTTTCACAGCTGATTTCCCTGTCCACTCAGAGTGCCTTCCTTTCCTGTGCCTTCTCCCAATTTGTGAGTCTCAGGGACACTCCCATTCTGTCATAATAGAGCCAGCTTCTTAGAGGCCTGTTGCTCTGACAGTGTTCCTGTTTCTCTTGTCTCAGGTGAGTAGCTGATGGCATTCCTGATTCCTTCAGGTAAGGAGCCAAACACAGTGCCGACTATTGTCATCCACAAGGGTCAATCTGCTGAGGCTTTTATGGAGTTGGAGTAGTGTAGAGGGACAGACATAACTACAAATGTTAATGCATCTCCATAAAGTCACTAGAAGGTTGAAGTAAGTTAATTTTTCTTTGTGGACAGCATCAGTCACATTTTTCGTGTATGCAATTTTCAAAATGTCTTGTTTATTTCAATAACACCAGCAATAATCATTGTTCTTGCCTTGTAGATGTGATAACCGTACAGGTAGTGAAAGTAAGTTGGTTTGATTTTGATATTGAGAAATAATCTTGTGAATGATTGCTTCTCTGACTTTTGGTAAATGCTCTTCTTCTTTTGTAAGATAGGAACAAAACCTGTCTGTTGGGCCAAACAGAAATATAACAACTAAATTTTTTAACACTATAACTTGTTTTGCCATTATTTGTTTCAAATATTACTTACTTCTATCCCATTTACATATTCCACAGGTCTCATTTAAAAGACTGAAAACTGTCCAGGCCACTCACATTTGACAATTCAGAAAAATATTTCAACTGGGCTGAGGGAAGAGAGCTTGAAGGCTAAACTTGAACAAATTATTTTCTTTTTCATTCCTCCACTACAGTGTAAAAATGGTAGCCAAATTAATGCAACACACAGTAAGCCTTGAGTCAGTCTGATCTGCTCATAGAGTGATGACCCATGAAGACTTTCTCATGCGGGTTCCCTTTGAGATCATCCTGGGTGGTGAGGAATGCCATCACGAAGGTATGACTCCATCGTCAGGTCTGACTCTACTGAAATCTGAATTTGCTGAGTATTTCATTTCTACTGGAACAATTTCCTAATGGTTCACTTATTTAGATTACAAAAAGGCTTATTTTATTTCTTGCATAGGGAAGACTTGATGTTAGCAGCCCTATGAATTATTATGTGATCTTCAATTTTGCTTTCTGCTTTTGTGCAGGTTTATCAGCACTTTTCATATAGAAGGGATTTTAGAAAGAGGCAATACTATTAATAATAATACAACAGGACCAATTTTCATTAATTTGGTACTTACATGTTCCTGATCTTCAGATAATATATTTCCTTTGCCCTTTTGAATTCTATGAGCAAGGCCAATATATTGATAGGAGATTAACCGAGTACCAGGAGAAAAACATATGAACCTTAATATTGTTACATGCAAATGGGAGCCTTCATAGGAAGATAGACTTAAAGAAGCAGTTAATAGCAGAGATTTTTATTATTATTATTTTTAATTTCTTCATGTTGCCTCTTTTTTTTCTTAAGATTTCTTTATTTATACAGGAACCAGGGTACAGGCCAGATGTGCAGGTGGGTGAGAGGATTCACCAAAGATAGAGCGGGGAACAGAACAAGCAAACTGATTGTAATACACTGCTGAGGGGAGCAGTGGGCAAGACAGGAGAGGTCTGCTGCACATGTGGGTTTCTCCCTGGCCAGCTAGAATCGAACTCTCACTGCAGAGACTGCGGACAGCTTCACAGTGCAGCGCTCAACTTCCTGCGCCAACAGGGAGGCTCCAAAGATTTTATTTTTAACAAAAAGTTATAAGTTGTGGAGTTACAAGACAAAAGAAAGAAGTTGAAGTTTTAGGGACAATAAATTATGGGACTGTGACTAGGAAATGCATGAGGAAACTAATGAAAATTAAGGTTATATGAGTAGGTTTACTTGTGCCAATCTGTTCTGGTATCAACTCCCAGTGTCTGGTGGCAAGATGTTCTTTTCCTGGTACAGGGGGTACATCTGTATATGAGGGATCTTATGTCCTGCCTGAGGCAAAAAGGAGTCAGCAAGAGAGTCTTTCCTGCATTTGCCCTTGTCCTTACTACTCTTGACAGTCTTCTGTAGTTCTTGTCCCTTCCTATCTTTTAGTCAAATATTTCATGATATTTTTCACTTGTTTTTAAAGAATACTCATTACAACCAATAAATCAATTTTATAGCCCACTGGTATTTCATGGACTTCAATTTAGGGGGAAAATGCTAGAATAGGCCTACCCACATAACTTTCTTGACTAGTCATGTACAAAATTATGGTCCTAACATGTGCCTAAAATGCACAAGATTTTTTATGTTATTAGACACACCTCCTTTTATTGGGTTTTGCTTTAGTTATGCTTTGCAGATAGTGCTTTTGCTGTTTTATTTTTTGACAGATAAAAGGCTTGTGGCCATCCTATACTGAGAAATCTATTGGTGCCATTTCGCAAAAGCATGTGCTCACTTTGTATCTCTGTGTCACATTTTGATAATTCTCACAATATTTGATACCTTTCCATTATATCTGTTATGGTGATCTGTCGCCAAGGATCACTGATATTACTCTTGTAATTGTTTTGGGTTCCATGAATCTTGCCCATATAAACAGAAAATTGTATCAATATATTATGCCCGTGTTCTAACTGCTTCACCTATCTCTACTGTTCCCCCTCTCTTCCCTCTCCTCAGGCCTCCCTACTTCTTGAGAATAACAATATTGAATTTAGGTCCATTGGGAACCTTACAACAGCCTTTCAGTGTTCAGATGAAATGAAGACTCTTGTGTCTCTCTCTTTCAATCAAAAGCTAGAAACCATTCAGCTTAGTGAGGAAAGCATATGGAAATCTAGCTGAAGGCTAGTCCTTTTATACCAAATATTTAGCCAAGTTGTAAATGCAAAAGAAACGTCCTTAAAGGAATTCCTATGAAAACTCAAATGACAAGACAGCAAAACATCTTTCTTGCTGATATGGTGAAAGATTTGTGATTTGAATAGAATATCAGAACAGCAGCAACATTCCTTTCAGCCAAAGTCTAGTCCACAGCAAATCTCTAACCTCTCTCCTATTCTGTGAAGATGGAAAGAGGGGAAGAAATTGCAGAGAAAAGTATGAAGCTAGCAGAGGCTGGTTTATGAAGTTTCAGAGGTCATCTCTCTGAAAGTGCAAGTGCTGATGAAGAAGTTGAAGCAAGTTATACAGAATATCTAGCTGAGTACGTTGATGTAGGTGACTACACTAAACAACAGATTTAAGTGTACACAAAACCGTCTTACACTGGAAGATATCACCTGGCACTATCTTTCCTAAAGAAGAGGAATCAATGCCTGGATTCAAAGTTTCAAAGGACAAACTCTCCTGTCAGAGGCTAATGAGATTGTGACTTTCAGTTGAAGCCAATGCTCATTTACCATTGTGAACATTCTAGGTTCTTTAAGAGCAATGATAAATCTACTCTGTGCTTTGTAAAAGAATAAAAAGGCTAGATGACAGTGAATCTATTTACAGCATGGCTTCCTGATTATTTTAAGTCCAGCGTTAAGACCTGCACAGTAAAGAGGAGATTGACTCTTGAACAGTACACCTGGTCACCCAAGAGCTCTGATGGAGATGTTTGAGGAGATTCATGTTGTTTTCATGCCTGCTGTCACAACGGCAATACTGCAGTCCATGGTCCAGGTGTCATTTTCAATTTAGATCTTATTGTTTTAGAAATGGATATATATTCCATTAAACCCAGTGGAAATGAGACTGTGCCTAAGATTTACATAGCTTCTTATAAAAAGTACTTCATAATAAAATATTTCTAAAAAGTACTTCATAGATGTCATTTGACACATTAGACCAGCATTTCTAGAGATAGATTTGTATTAGCAATATATATTAAGAGCACTGAGTGATATCTAAAGAGTCAATAGTAGAGCTGAAAATAGAAATAATGCACCAGGACCTCCCCTAGCAGTGCAGGCAGTTGGGCGCCATGCTGTGAAGCTGTCAGCAGACTCTGCAGTGCTGGTTGGATCTCGGCTAGCTGGCGAGGGTCCCACATGGCACAGCAGACCTCTCCTGTCACTCCTGCTGCTCCCTTCAGCAGTGTATTTTGTCAGCCTGCCTGTTCACCACTCTGTCTCTGGTGAATCATCTCACCCTCCTGCACATCTGGCCTATACCCCAGTTCGTGTTTAAATAAATAAATAAATAAATAAATCTAAAAAAACAACATAATCCACCAATCCTTTTCTGGAGTGGGGGCCCATAATTCCTTCCACCATGAGCAGTAGTCGTCAGATGAATGAATCAGCTCAGATAGAAAGAAAAATTAAAGTAATTTGAGAGAAAAAAGTCATTGTAAAGGGAGATACCAATACATTTTTCTAGTGTTTCTCTGTGGCACAACTATTGTAATTTTGGAATTTCTCACCATTAGCTACAGAGAAAGGTGGTTGTTGGGGGAAGTTTTGAGAGAATAATTTCAGACTAGGATAAGTGATCTTTCAAATGCCCTCTCATTGTAATCTGTAAGATTCTTTCCTTTCCATATAGCAATGTAAGGTTGAAAGTAACTACCGTGAGGGAGAAAGTAGCAATTGGGGCACCGGGGTGCAGCTGATCAACAGAGTGTTGTCTGCCTCTGCTTGGAAGAGAAACTCTCCTGACACACTTGCCTCCCTAGTTGGGGATGAGCTCAGTGGTGAGAAGGGGATCCTCAGTGACCCTGAGAGAGTCTGACCTATTTCAGGTTTGAATGCAAACTCTGAATTGTTGTGAGAAATAAATACAAATTTTGTGAGAGCCTTGATACCTTTGTAGTAGCTTTGGTGGCAATCGGAGATTGTCACTTCATTGTTGAGATCTGTTTGGAAAGGTGGCACAGTGGAAACAGACCTTGAGAGTTCAGTCTCTCAACTCTATAGAAACTAAAAAAGAGGAAAAAAAACTTCGGCAAAGGTATTTATTTACACCAGAGGTGGGAGGTGGG